GGAAAGAGAGAGCAAAAGAGAGAGAAGGCCCAATAGGATTAGATCTCCCCCTTTTTTCCACACCAATTATAAAATGCAGAACACAATTTTGCAGTTTTCAATATTATCTTTAGAACATACACAAAGTTTATTAACTTTCTAATAAAGAGCTGGTGCCACAAAGGGGATAGGAAGGAAAGAGACAATTATGTATACTCATAGACTGAGACCATTAAAAAAAAATCTTACATAGGTTACTGGACTAGATAACCAGCAGTGAGTATTCCAGAGATAGGTACAAAATCCCTATCATGGATGATTATTAAAAAATGTATCTTCCTGGAGGGAGACATTTTTTACCTAAATATGCTTAAAGCTTCTTTGTGACATGGAGGTTAAAAGCTCATAGTCTTTACCCTGATGGATATGATGCCTGTTTATAAACTTATGATTTATGTAATGGCCTAATTTTAGGGATTTTGTTAAGTTTTCCTTGATGTCTTGTAGCAGTGAGTACCACAAGTTAATTTTTGTGTTGTTGCCTTTCCCTGAGCAGTTTTGAAAGTGAATATAGCCTGTGTAGTTGTACCTGGGAGAATGCTCCCAGGAGTCCCTCCTGAGCCAATTTGTTGCAGCTGCACACCAGGACTTCAGCCTCCAGCACTTAGAAGTCAAGAGCATTAAGAATAGAGATCACTGTATTTCTTTCTAAAATCAGCGCACACAGATGCTTCACACTGCAGCAAATCAGTTGGTAAGAAAATAGAGCATCCTGAAGATGCAGATTACATGGACACAGGGTGGCAGCTGGCTCTGCACATCACTTTCTTGGCCACAGTCATGCTCACCTGAAAGCTTGCGGCGATGCAGTTGTTGGTGAGAGACAAGTGATGGGAGCCAGGGAAACACTGAGATGGATCACGCATTGTCGTCACTGTTGTATATAAGGTGATTTTTCACTTTCAGAGATAATAAAGCTGCTGTGATCATCTGCCCCAGTTTGTTATCCAACAGTCTACAAGATTTCCTGAAGGGCTGTTTGCTTTCTTGTCTGATCCTTAGATAAGACCATGGTGAAAGGCTTTTTGGGGCAGAAGAAAGCAGAGCTTTATCACCCATCCTTTAGGCCATTGCGCAAAGCTCACCTGCACCTTGTGTAGTGCATCTCACCGTACCCATGGACCACAGCTGAGCTGAAGGGCAACAGGAGCTGCAAGGCACTCACTCTTTTGGCCAACTGCTGTCTCCTTAAAAGCCAAGTCCCCCAAACTCCTGGTGGGCTCCCGAAAGCAGCATTAAGCACAAGCTGTAGCTGGAATGAATCTTGGAAGAACAAACCCATTTGACAGATGCTGTCACATTTTAGGTAAATGGATTGCAGATTAACCTTTTCCAGTGTGCAGGGGTATCACGCTGCCACGGCCTTACAAATGCACTTTCTTCCCCAGCTGCGTAGTGCCAGCACGTGGATTGGCTCAGGGTTCCCAATCTGCAGAATCACTCTATGGTTATTTCTCAATTACCATATAGCGCAGGAGCCAGGGTGCTCTGATTGGCAGGCAGGCACTGCCACACTTGCGTTATCTCTGCAGAATTATTTCTCGATAGCAGTGTTGTGAATATGCAAATCCACCCTAATTGGCTACGCTAATCACACTGCTCTGACTGGTTTCTGTTCTCAAACTGTTCAAGCTACTTGACAGGAACAAAGAAAATACCTCGGTTTCTTGCTCCCTTTAGCTGAAAAACTCTAAAACTTAAATGAAAAAGGAGAGCTATCTCAAAAGCAAAGAAAATGAAGCTGTGAAAAGGATTAACTTTTTTTCAAATAAAAACACATTGACTTTTTTTCTTGCTGGTTTTTTACCGTTCTCCATCTCAACAAACCTCTTGTCCCCACAATAGCTGTGATACCTTTGTCTTGCCAGTATTTGTTTAGAGAAGGTGAATCCTGGGCTTGTTCAATTCTCTTTGAAACACAAGGTAAACAAAATGAGATTGCTGTTCTGCAGAAGGCAGCCACTCTGATCTGCACAGGCAGAGGGGAAAGCGCTGTGGGAATAAAAGGAAGAAACAACACAGACAAAAGTGAAGCGTCCAAATGATTTGAAACGTTTTAAGAAATCAATTTGCATGAGACAGCTCTTGTTGGCTTTTAAAAATATTTTTCATTAAAATTTTAAATAATTAAAGGCTGCATTCAGATAACTTGCTTCATTCTGTTTTCTGAAATCTAAGAAGCCTCTTCCTTACTGTTAAGATCCCTTTTTATCCTTCTGGTGAGTTATTTCTGAATTATATTTTTCTTCTTTGGAAGATCATCATGGTAGTTAATAATATCAATAAGAACAAGTCATTTGTGAAATTTATTTCTTCTTCATTTCCCTGAGAGTTTGGTTTTGGGCAACGCGGTCTAACAACCATCGTGCTGTTAACTGCTTGGCTTCTTTTCCTCCGGCAAGATGAGAGACTGGGTTATGCAATCTGGGTAATGGATGTGCTGCGTAACCTGCATATCCATAATGAATCCTAATCTAATTAGATTACCTCTAGAAAGGTGACATACGGAAAGCTGCCATCTTTTATTTAATGATGTGCAGTGTTACCTGCTGTAATGCCATCCTCTTGGAATATCATATTGTGAGTGTTTGCTTATCTGGAGGATAGAGAAGGGGGTTTTAAATGTGCTTCCAGGCTACACAGTTAAAAGCAATCTCTGCTTCAGATCATTCCAACTAAATAAATAGATCAAAGCACTTCACTGCTTCCAGAGTATTTTACAAATTGGCAAGTAACATGAGAAGGAACTGGAGACACTGAGACTAAATGGTTTATCCAAGATACAGAAAATCTGTGCAACACCTGAGCCTCCTCACTGATAACGCTGGATTTCAGCTAACTTCCTCACATGACCTGCAGCATGCAGACTACAGAGCAGGAAAAGCATTTACACAGCTCTGCACTAGTTGCTCTGGTGGTTTTAACTGATGTTAATTCATAACAATTAAAACACATTTAGAGCACCAGAACACATATTATTGTACCTAGTCGTATCTGAAATTGTTGAACAATACCACCTGCTTTCTGGTCACCTTGGTAAAATAAAGACATTAAAGCTGTTCAAGGCCTTCACTCAATTACAGAGTGATCGGAAATAAACCAAATGCAGTAGGAGCTCTGTGATTAGGGAGTGCACTTTGCCTGGCAAAAAAGTGCAAGGGTTAATTTTGCACTCTTGGAGTGAGGAGAGATGCACTTCTCGCTGTCCCTTGACACTGGAGTAG